ATGTTGGATAGCCATTTGTCTGAAGTGGTGTAGGGTTTCCTGCCTAGGCAGGGGGTTGGACTAGAAGACCTCCAAGGTCCCTTCCAATTCTGTTACTCTATTCTAACATTGATCTAGAAGTGTCTATAACAGGGAATTCAAATTACTGTTTTGACTTTTCCTCATATTTAGAGGGTCTTCTGAAATTGCATATCATTAACATATCTGTTTTTAGAGGGGAGCGGTGGCTCAGTGGCTAAGATGCTGAACTTGTTGATAAGAAAGGTCGGCAGCTCAGCAGTTCGAATCCCTAGTGCCGCGTAACAGAGTGAGCTCCCGTTACTTGACTCAGCTTCTGCCAACCTAGCAGTTCGAAAGCATGTAAAAATGCAAGTAGAAAAATAGGGGCCACCTTTGGTGGGAAGGTAGCAGTGTTCCGTGCGCCATCGGCATTTAGTCATGCCGGCCACATGACCACGGAGACGTCTTCGGACAGGGCTGGCTCTTTGGCTTTGAAACAGGAGCACTGCCCCCTAGAGTCAGGAACGAGTAGCACATATGTGCGAGGGGAACCTTTACCTTTATAACGTATCTGTTTAAAAAGAAATTGGAGGTATCATTGGTAACGCATATCCTTGCAGCCTGTCTCTTAATATTTATTTGTTTCTTCTCAATTTAGAATCAAAGAGGATAGAACAACAAACGGGCTTCCCATTTGATAACAAAGGACTGGTCTCTGGATATAACTTTGGCACTGCTCCAGGAAGCAACTGAAGGGGAAAAGAGCTTAAAGAACTGTGCAAAAACATTTCATTATTAAAAAAAAAAAGGTGACTTATGAACAGGGAAGGTAATCAAGGGGTCTGCAAGTTTTCCCCTTTGGAAAAGGCGGTATTTGACCCTCTTCCCCCTCTCATTAAGATATTCTTTCTAACCAGCTGCTGTAATGTATAAATTCTTGTGGGTATTTTTATAAGTTGTTGGACTGAAAAGAAAGCCTCTGTCCCCTCTTCCTTCTCCTTGGGAAAGGGGCGGCTATTTGAAACCGAATGGAAATTGCACTTCTCAGGTTTTTGACGTGTGACATTGAAGGGGTCCTATGGATAACAGTGCCTTCTGTTGTATATACGGATAGCCCGACAAAAGAGTTTTGGAACGCAATGCTTTTTTTCCCCTCTCATTTAAAAGAAAAGAGAAAGGGCACAGAAAAAGGTCATAATTCATATCTTGCTTTCCATATACTCTTGCGTTAACTTCCTCGGAAGAAATCATGGCTGCATTGTGCCCCGTCACGCATTTTACAGTTAACTGTAGAAACCGTTGTTAACATCCCTGCGTGTGTGTTGGCTTCGACATCATGCCTCATTGAGTTATCGAAAAATGTCTTCGCATTCACTGCTGTTACCAGATGGTGAATTGTTTTTAAAATTCTTCTTTAGAGTGGTCAGGCTTTATGCTTGTGTGTGTGTGGGGGGGGGGTTGTTTTGTCTTCCAAACTTTGCAAAACATCCTCCTTGCTTACCACGGACTCCCATCTGCATGTTGTAAGCCTTTTAAAGTGATCACTCTGCTTACCTTGGACCTTATCTGGCCTATGAAGACACCTGTCCTATCTAGCCAAGAACAGTGGCCTTATTCTCCCCAGTTGGTGGAGACAGCAGCCAGAAGGGGTTGTCTCTGTCCAGTGACCAATCAGACTGAGTCTGCAGCTGTGACATCTGGTGACTCCTCCCAGCTTTAGACTTAGTCCGATCAGGACTGGACGCATAAATTAATTCTCCTCCAAATTAGCTAGCTAATTAGGTTTTTTTTCCCCAAAAAATTTCACTCTCTATTTTTTTTAATTGGCTTATCTAAGGTTTTGCTACTGCTCTTCTTTATCTGCAATCTACAGACTGCATTTCCTTGGCTCTTACTTCATCGCAGGTGCCACAAAGTAACTCCGGAGCATCCTGTAACTTCTAACCATCGGGAAAACCTGCGGGCAGCAACCCCAAATTAGGTTTTAGGTTTTAGGTTTTATTAACATTTATAGGCCGCCCTTTTCCCTGAGGGGACTCAGGGCGGCTCACAAAAAACCAGGGAGGGGGAAATACAACGTTAAGATTACAACATATAATAAAATAGTAAACAACATACACTCATCATTCGGGCGGGGTAGGAATCCTTATCCCCAGGCCTGACGGGCGAGCCAGTTCTTCAAGGCTGTGCGGAAGGCTGGGACGGTGGAGAGGGTACGAATCTCCACGGGGAGCTCGTTCCAAAGGGTCGGGGCAAATCCCACTTTTGTAAAGCAAGATCAGTAACCGTGAGCAGGATATGTTTTGTTTCTCTTTTGCCACTGTTGACTCTCCGGGGGGGGGGGGGGGGGGGGGGGGGGGGGG